AATTTTGTTTATCAATTGTGTGACGGTCGGGTGACTCGGGTAAAGATTTCCTAATTTGGGACGGTCTCACCTGTTTCTCAAAGTACTATTTTTCATTTTTTGACCGGGGCGCCCCAGCTGAAATTAGTACCTAACCAAAGTTAGTCAATTAACTCATGCCCACATATATTTTTGAACCTTATCTGGCCTAAATGTGCACAATGTATGCATGTACGACGGATATCAAGTCTTATTTTTTAACGATTCTAACCTTACATGGTTCTATAACTTGTGATGTATATATTTACATAATCTTACATAGAAATTCTTTGCCGTGCTTTTCAGAAATTTCTCTGCATACCCCGATGTAAGAGTGCATGTTTTTGCTTCTGTCTAACCTATCTAACATTTCGAGTTTCGAGAAAGAGGTGAAAGAAAAACATATAAAAGGGCAGTATCTCGAATTTATTGTTATTTGTCGCTTATTAGTGATTCGGTTTTTATTATATTAACAAGCCTGTTACTTTTACATCTCAAATTAACTACGCAACATGACTTCATTGTATGATACTATTTGTGGTTTTTTTTACATCGCATTACCGGAGCATATAACTGCATATTCAGTCATTTCTCAGGCAATGGATGAAGAGCTCTCGATCGAAAAGGATGATTTAAGACAAATATTTCACCAAGCAATTTTAGCTGTTATGCCATCGTACAGATCTAATTCAAAAAAAAATACCAAAAACTTCAGAGTTTGCCATTAAAGGTTGGTGGTATAATTGTTTTATAGAAAACCTTTGTATTATAGGATGATAACGCAGAATATTATCCTGATAACTGATGCAAAGTTATATCCAAAGCCATACAAGCCCTGGTTTGATCTTGTATTAATCCACAGACGTATGGGGGTATTTCTTTGTTTCTAGTTTAAGATGAAAGCGTATATCGTGTAATTTATCATCTATGTACTGGCCACACATGGCTGATAATATTGCATGATAAAAATCTGACGTGTGCGCATACGACTTTAGAATAATTATTCATAGTAGCAATATACAGTATAATTTAATTTTTTTTTCTCTGCACTAGTTTGATGATGCTTTCGAAGGAGTACGTAGTCTTCGGGATTTTGAGACTGCCAGACAAGAGGATTTATCCACCGAGACGATTGAAAATAATTTGCGAGTATTAAAAGGGAATCTTAAAAAAAGTGAAGCACGGTATGCCAAACCTTTATGAAAGATAATAGGTAATAAGGTTAAGTCCTCAAAACTTTCATGCTATAATCCAATTGCAAGCCAGGTTCTCAGTAGTGAAGCAGAGGAGGTTAAACAATTACTAAAAGAAGAATATGAGTCTTTTATAGTTAGAATAAATATATTTCAATTGTGTTTATAGATAAAAATCATCTTTATATGGTGTTGAATATGCTTAAAATTAATGAAATATACATTATTAGGAACCAGCGAAAAAGATGGAGATATCTCTCCCTCCCTCAATTGAAACACTATGTAATAATTTTTTAACAAACTATGACGATGGCTCTACAGAGATACCTCCACAAAAACTTTCTTATAAAAATTGGAAAGAGAGTGAAGAGGTTCTTAAAGATATTTCAGTTGGAATACTTGAGACTTTGTAAGTATAATATCGAATATTAACTAATTTATAAAATTAAATAACAATAGTATTTTTTTATATCATAGAGGAGAGATCTGGAAAAATCCAGCTTTTACGCCTAAATTTGCTAAAACACAGAGCAAGGGGACATATGTGGCAGATATTATTGTTCCCATTATTCGAGCCACATTAAAAATTTACCAATTGGGAAATCTGCGTACATTAGCACGTAAATAAACTTTTGATTTTTTTTCTAAGACCAGTTTTTTTTATTAATTTTTTTTTATTTATTGCAGAGCGGAACGGCAAAGTTTGGCTAGCAAGGACAGAAGGGGAGAGAGAGGAAAGCGTCCAGACATTATGTTCATAGCGAAACATATGGATAGAATCTATGAACTAGTGTTTAGTGAATGTTCACGCATTGTTTGTAACGTCACCAAAGAAGATGATGATAGAGTAAAATTGTGGCAAGAACTTAATGATGGCTTATATTGGACGAATAGAGGATGTCAGGGGGTAGCATATTATTGTGGACACTTTTTGAACTTTAATTGTTCGAAATCGGGTAAGTAAGCGCAGCACGAAATTTATATCACGTGATCGGCAAATCCCGTGGTGCAACATACTAAAATTTCGTGCAATTTCGTTAGATCATGCAGAAATAATGCAAAAGGTAGGACAAAGTACCATTTTTGGATACGTATGAAGATCAGTTTTACGGATTTTTTTTTTTTAAAAAAAAATTCATAAAAAATTGAATTGTTGTTTAAATCGCATCAAATTTCGCTCAAATGTAGCGTGACACCCAGGTAACGTGACACTATATAAAAAATTGTTTATTTGTATGACGGATCGGCATAAATTAAAAAAAAAGATCAACTTTATTTTTTTTTCCACGAAAAATGGACGCAAAGAAAGACTTAAGCGAAAGTCAAAAAGGAGCGATAATCTACGGTCACCAGCGTGGAGATTCACTCCGTATTATTGCGGCTGCAGTTAGGTGCGGTAAATCTGCTGTGTTGAATATAGTAAAGGAGTACAGTAAGGTGGGCGCGGAAGCGCAAAAAAAAAAAAAAGACCCGGTCGTTCAAAAACTCTAACTCCCGCTGAACAGCATAGCGGGCTTTATTATGATTGGTTGATTTTGAAGATCATCTCATCATATTAAAGTCTTATTAAAGTAACGAT